AACTTTTCAGAAAACAAAAAGACATGGACTAGAAAGAGAATTTTATGCGCATTTCGAATATGAACTTTGTTTTGAAATACACCCTTTTCTTCATCCTGTGGATGCAATTCTTTTTTACCAACTTTTAAAATTATAATTTTAAAAGTATCGAGCAGATGGCCGATTTGCTGTATCATGGTTCATCTACTCAGGTTTGTTATAATTCATCTTTATGCGGCGATGGGCATAATGGTAGTGGTTATGTATGTCAAACAATAAATGCATTTAGTATTGATATTACTGATATGACTACGCAGCATTCTATCATTTATTAGACAAATATTTTTCTATTTCATGCGGTCGTTTTCTATCAAATAATGTTGATTATTCAAAGTTGTTCCATTGTACTAATTCAAAACAGTATATTTCAAACTATCGACTAAGGGATTAGATTATTGATTGTGCTAATGGAATTGACGAGAAATATAAGCAAGGTGACGTATGTTCACTTAATTTAACTAATCGATTTAAACGTTTAAAAGATCAGACATGCATTGAACATCAACGTATACCGACAACATCTACAAAAAGTGAATGTTATTATCCATATTCATTGTCATTGCTGTGTGAGCATAATCCATCGGATCTTGGTTGTCAATATATTCGTGGTGTAGTTGAAATAGAAGAAACATATTTTTTTTTCAAGAGGTAGTAATAATTTTCTACATTTAACGAATAATAATGAAACAGATTGTGATGGATGGCATTCAAGTTGCAACAGACGATCATTTGATGAAGTTCATTGTTCAAAATTAACCACAACTGATAAACAACGTGAACCATATAAAAAAATGAGATTTTACTGATTTCAGCCAATTTCCTCCTTCTGAAAGAATTATTTCCATGTCTTCTCCTACAAACAAGTTATCAAATGTTGAAAATAGAATCGTACCATTCTTCAATTGCCATCGAGGTATTCCAATTGAATCAAAGGAAGGAAACAGATGCCTTTGTCCACCATCGTATTATGGAGATTTATGCCAGTATCAGAGTGAACGTCTAACCATTTATCTTCAAATTGAGACATCATCTGATGATGATTATCATGAAACGGCTTTTAAATTTTTAATTTCGTTAATGAGCGAGGAGCAAAATAACACAACATTAATTGTCGTCGATTCTGAAGAAATTCTTCATTTTCCGTACAAACATTTATCTTTATTTAAACATTTGTTCTATTTAAATTATCCATCGGATAAAAAGACGAAACAATTTTATGTAAGAATTGATAGTTTTATTGTCACAACTACAAGTGTTCAGTATCATTTATCGTGGTACTATTCAGTTCAATTTTCTTTTCTGCCTGTTAATCGTCTAGCATTAATATTGAGACCTAATAATGATAAACGATAAATGTCATGCAATAATACGAGAAATTCTAACTGTTTACATGGAACTTGTATGAAATATGTGAATTTAATTGAACAATATTTTTGCTTATTTGATCAGGGTTGATCTGGTGATTATTGTGATTTGGTGGCAACAACTTCCATTACAAGTAGGTGCGCAGACGGTTCATTCTTCATGAATGAAAAATGTATTTGTATGCTTCGAAGATTTGATCGTGAATGTCATCTCCAGTATGATCCATGCAAACATATTATGTGTCAAAATCAACGAATATGTATTTCACTAGATATTCGAGCATCACCTTTTATGTATGCTTGCATTTGTAACCAAGAATATTTTGGTAATTTGTGTGAATATAGTTCAGCGAAAGCATTCAGCACTGTGACAAAATCGATTCAAAATCAATTACATATGACGTCATTTAGTCAAATACCACTTGTTACTGTCTATTTTGTGGATATATCGAATAATATTGCTAT